CCAACCCCGTGGGCTGGTCTGACTCGCCACTGGACAGGCCTCAGCATCTCCAGCCCTGCCCAGCCTCCCCGTGGCGCTACCTCTTCGGTGGTTAGGGAGGAGGGGTGGCAGCCACCCCTGCTTGGCAGAACTGCACTAGCCACTTCCCAGACATCTGGGGGCGGGGGGTGGGGCACGAACCCGGGTGTTTTCGAACTTGCTTCCTCCTTGCAGGGCTGGGACTGGTTCGTTGTCGCTCTCCAGCGGTAGAGCGGTCCTCGGGATTGGAGGCGTGCGTGTGTGGAATGAATGAATCGCGTGACCACTGTGCAGGTGCCGGTCCAGGCTTGGGCTCGTGCCTTCAGAGAGCTTCTCTTAGAGCTCGGGGAACATAGGGTAATGGGGAGAGAAAAGTGGGTGGGTACCTCTGTGGGGTGGTCTGAGAGAAGGTCCTGCTTGTCGAGGCAGAGTCAGAAGGTTGAGAAGTGGCTGCCCCACTTAGGTGAGCAGATGCCATGAGAGCGGAGGTCAGGGCCCACACCGAGCCTGAGAATGACCTCCGCCAGAGGGCAGAGCCCGGGACTGAGAGACCTTGTGACCGCGGGGGTAAGAGTGGGTCTGAGGGAGGTGCAGGATGACCCAGAGGGCTGGGGCTTGGCCCATGTGGCAGGCAGAAGGGGGACGTAGCTGGTTTTGGGGTCAGCTTTGGGCTTGTTGGGTTCGCCATGGATTGAATGTGGGGTATTAGGACCGCTGTGGTGTTTTTGCACATACTGGAAAAAAAGCAGGTCTTGGTGGGACAGTGAGCTCACCTTGGGTTTGTTAAGTTGGAGGTGCTCAAAGCTGAGGGGTCAGCCCAAGAGAGAGATCTGGGTTAGAGAAAAGTCAGCACGGGCCAGGATGAGATCACAAGTGGTAGGAGAGAGGCCAGAAGAGGGTGCAGAGGCCCTCCAGCAGAGGCAGCTGAGAAGGAGTGGCCAGGGAGGTGGGGGGAAGCTGAGGGGAGCTGTCCTGCAGGCCAGCTCTGACCGCAGTGGCCTCCCGCCAGCCCAGCCCTAGGACAAAGCATCCCTCCTAGCTTGCGTGCACTCACCCTGCCAGCTGTAGAGCCTGCTCTCCTGCCCATGCCAGTATTACACGGCCTTGGGGGAGCTTTCTGAACCCGAGCTTGGCCACCTGCCTCCTCCAAGCCTCTGTGGCACCTGCTCCTGCCGCCTTCCCACCTGCCTTTCAAGGCTGACTTTCCTTTGCCTCTAAAAGCCACGCCCCCCTAGTCCTCAGGCAGCAGGTGGCTCCTCCCCTCACCTGCTCACGGGCACACCCAGCTGTCTCTTAGACCCTTTTGGCACCTACCATGAGGCCCCACTGGATAAATGATTCTGGAGGTGACTTGAAGCCCATTGACCTCTGTCGGGCAGCGTTTGTTTATGTCTAGCTTAACTCTGTCTTGCTGCTGCTGAAGTCCTTTTCCCTGGGTTGGCTCTTAGTAGGGGGCTAGTGGAGAAGAAAACAGCAAGGGCCCCCCTCTGTCCCCATACCATGCCCTACCAGGTTTTGGCCCACACTGGGTCTGACCTTGAGCTCCCTCTTCCTCCAGCCAAACTGTAGCCCACTTAATTCTTTTTTATTTTTGAAAGGGAGATTTTTGCTATAGGGTCTCTATGCTCACTGGACAGACAGACAGAAACTGAGAAATCACTTCCTAGGGGGAATGGCTGTGCTGCAATTGCTTCTCCATTCTCTCGGGATCTTGGGCACCCGTGCCTATGCGCCTGACCTGAGTTTTAAGCAGCTGGGTCCGTGATTCGAACTGGGGTTAACTACATGGAGTCCAGCAATGCAACCATTACGCCACCTGCTGGTCCCCCACTTAATTCTTCACCAGTATTCCTCAAGCACTTTCTGCAGGGCCAGCCCACGGCACAGTGGTAATGCACCGCTCAGGAGAGGCCAGCTCCCTCTTGGTGACTGAGGTTCAGCCCATCATCCTGAAACACTGCAGGCACATGTGCAAATGCCCAAGATCCGACGGGCCGGAGGACTGGGGGAGGGGATTGCAGAGTGCTTAGGCCCCATAGAGCGGGGGGGCCCTCTGTCATTCATGTGAGCATGCACACGTGGCTCTGTAATGAATAGAGGAAAAACCAGCAGGCACAGTCCCACCCTGCCCCTGGAGACCACTGCTATCATGATGGGTGATTACTGTGTGATGAGTAGAGGGCGCGTCAGAACAACACGTTCCCAGGTGCTGAGAACTCAGGGTCACTTTTGCAGCAAGCTTGGGGGCCTTCCTGGAGGAAAAGGAGAATGCATTTGGTGGACCGGGCTGGAAGCCGTTCTTTTGCAGTGTGATAACTGTAGATAAGTAGCTTCTTTTCTGAGCCTCCTTTTTCCTGTCTGTACAAATAGGGATGATGATGCCCCCTCTCAGGTTTCTTCGCTGTAAAACGAGGAGGACGTGACATGCCTGCCGTGTCCTAGTTGCTCAGTAACACTTTGCATTGACTTCAGTCCCCTCGCGAAGTAAAGTGCAGCTAAGCACAGCCTGGGTCTGAATGCCAGCCTTGCCTTTTCCCAGCTGTGTGTCTTTGGACAAGTTACTTAGCTGCTCTGTGCCTCACTTATGTAAGACAGGACTAGCGACCAGTGGTATTGATCGGAGGCCAAGTGCCTGGATACGCACGAACACGGCTGCTCTTCCTGGGCCCTCGGTACCTGTTTCTCTATTTCACACCCAGCCCCGTCAGCTACGCATTTGAGATCATCCTAAAAGTGATTAGGGGATGACTAGGAAGCGGCCGAGGGGCCAGCAGATGATGTGGTGGTTAAGGGGCTGATTCCCACGTGGCCGACTGCAGTTGAGCCCCAGACTCTGCAGCTTGAAAATCACACTGGGCGTGTGTGTGTCTAAAATCCAGAGAGAATGGAGAAGGGATCGTGGCGTGGCTATCCCCCCGAGGGGTGGTTTTTCACTTTCCTTCTCTGTCTCTCTGGCTCTGACATGTGCATGCACCCAATGGTGAAAGAAAAAGGGGAAAAAAGAAAGAAAAGGAAGGGAGGCCGTCTGCCCTGGCCCAGGTGTCTCTGGGCTGTCGAGGGTAGGGAAGGCCAGGGCCACTCTCCTCAGGACCTGTGGGTCCCTTTCGGGGTAGTGTGGCTTCCTCCCGACCCCTACTCATGCCAGACTCTGGCTTCCAAATCCTCAGGTCTCCGTTCCCACCAGGATAAGCCCCAAGGATCTGACCTCAGGGAAAACATGCTGGTTCTACCGAAGGCAGAATTTAAGAGGAGAAGACATGTGGAGGAGATTCTAGACCTCGGGGCTGTCTCAGAGACTTGACAGCGACCCCTTGGTGCCTTCCGGTCCAGGCAGCCCATGAGGAAATCTGACTTCACTGCTGTCTGCCCACCCTCAGCTTCCCCCTGGGGACTGTGTGGGTCCCAGTGCTGCCTCTGCTCTACCCCCACCCTGTGCTCCCTAATAAGTAACCCCGCGAATAGTGTGACTGCAGTCCGTGTGGGCAGCTTCTGTGTCGCTGGGTGGGGCTGAGGAAGCAGGTCTCAGGAAAGACCCGGTGTTCTCCAGAGTTACTCCCCGTGGCTTCTTGACCTTGTGGGATCACAGGTGCCTCCAGGAGCGGAGGACCGGGCGCCTCCCCAGCGGCAATAGGAAGTCATACGGACCTCGGCGGCACTGTCGGGACTGACTTGTGCCTCTGTCAGTTTCCTGC